TCCCGGAACCGTGCGACATCTTTTTATGACATCTTATTATCTCATTTCTACTTTGGACAAACTTGCAGGCTATCGAATGTAGCCTGCCCACAAGGCAGAGTCTGGCAAACTCCCCATGGTGTACCAAATATGCCAAATACCAGTAACAATGATGGGTCTCATTCTCCTAAAGAGCCTTGAATATAATCTCAGGGCTAGGATGAAAGAGACGTTACTGGGGCCTGCTCGAGGCAATCGACGAATGAATGAATGAATGATGCTAAGCAACATATAGATTCTGTCATCAGACATATCTAGAGGACAAAACATGAATTTACCACTACAAATCTCTCTGTACTTGCTAACCACACCCAGTCTTCCTGGATTTTGAATAAGCTTTCTGAATTTACAACATACTGTTTAAAATGAAAAGCATCATCAAAAAACAAATAAGAGAACTGGAAAACATTAACCTTGGCCAATCATCAAGCAAGGTAGAGGGGAAAACCTATTAAGGGATAACTGGGAAAGCATGAAGGCATCCTCCATGGAAGAGGATGCACAGAAGTGGGAATTTAGCATGATAAGTCAGTAGTGGGAATGTATTTGAGAAGAATGAGGGGTGAGTTGTTGGGATTTTCTTGACTACAAGTCAAACATGTCTTTGGCTAAAATTCCATGCATGACTCATAAGATATTTTGTACAACTCCATGGATGCCATTCTCAGAGACCTCAATAAGAATGAGTTAGTCTAGAGACATGCAGACTCAGTTTGCACATCAGCACATAAGGGTTCATTCTCTACAAATTGTATTTTTATTTTTATTTGGGAATAGGGTATACTGTTATGGGGGCATTTGCAGCAGAGCCTGTGGACCATGTATTGCTGAGATTAAACCCAGGGCTTCTGTGTTCAAAGCATGTGGTTCCAGCCCTCGTAGCTCTCTCCTCAACCCTGCCCTGGAAGTTTGTCACACTTTTTCAGTCTACATATGACTTACTGTAAGAAAGAAAAAATAACATCAACAGTTGTAGATAACAGTCTTAAAATGATTAGAAGCTATTTTCCAAAATTATTTATTTGGTTAGCAAGCACAGCACTTAGCTTGGGGTTTTACACATAACAACTATTCACTGTATATTTATTATGTGATTGAACTAATGAGCCACAAAGTAAATGGAAGAGAAGTTAAATATGTTTCAGGATAGAGAATGTTCTGGAAAGCACGTACAGTAGTTTATGACCTAAATCAACTAGTCTGACTGGCCTACAGATTGTAGTAGTTAAAATGTGCCTCCCCATAATTACTTAACCCTTATTTTATTGCCAGCTAATATTTTATCATTGCTATGTAATGTATTTTAAAATTACTATAAATTATTATTTATATCAACACATATTAGATAATATAAGCTTTTAATCTATTGTTTTGTTTTTACTATTATATATTATTGCCCTTTCTGTGTATTTATTGCCATTATAAAAATAATAGTGAAAATTTATAGTAAATGAAAGACATCGCACTAGTTGCTTTACACAAAACTTCCATAATTTTCACATGCCGGGAAAATTCTAAATAACAATTCTACTTTATAATTAAGATATTCAAAATTCATCTAATGTCATATGGCTAAGCAATGAATGAGTGAAACAAAATTACCATTTAAATCTTTCTAATACATTTAAAAACATTTATAATCTAAGTAGAATTACTCTCAATATACATAGAAGTATTTAAGGTGCTTGGATCTATTACCTAATTTGTCCTGCAATTCAATGCTATTAATTTGGTCATTAAGAGTGGACAGGATAGTGGACACTGAATAATTTCTTTGGAAGTGATACAGTATCAATCACACATAGCATCCATTATATGTCACTGTAAATTTGAATTTTTCCAATCTCTCCTGGCTGCAGTTTCTTTGTTCCTTTAACTCCATATGATATTCAGTATTATATTTCCAAAACCTCAGTTCAAGTGTCACTTGCTCTGTCAACACACTAGTCTCCAATATTGACTCTATATCTTCTCGACTAAGGTTTCTTATTGATTGATTAGTTCCCATTCTAATTCCTATAAACGTGATTAGTACATACCTGGTCACTGCCCTCACACAGCCAATACAGGAGCACTGATGAGTTACCAAACATTTCAGATTATTCTACCTATTTCCATTTTCACATTCTTTCTAAATGAGAATGCTAATAAAATGATAAAAGTCTAAAATGTAATACTTATTTGTGTTATTTTTATGACGCAAAGACATTTTAAAGGTTCTAGAAAGCAGGAAACACTTATTTTAAATCATAGGTATGAACTTCCACACCTTGTGTCTGACACATAGTAGGTTTCAATAAATATCTGGATTAATTCAAAGGAAAAAACCGTCACATCTTCTGGGGAAATCTCCCTGAAGTCCAGGAATAGTTGTTTCCTTTTCTATGCTCCTCTGCTGTCTGGGTATTATAATTGCCACATTGTTACACAATGAAATTGTTTCCATGTCTTTCTCTGGGGGCCAGACTTTGAGATCCTGGTTGACAGAGACCAAGTCTGTGGGTTTTTAACATCCAGCACAGGACCCTTCTTATAGTAAGCTTCCATAATTTTCCTGGAATTGAAAATCCAATTCTAAAGGGGGTGTTACACATTTTACAGTTGAAAAACTGGGATCTAGCAAGAAAAATTAAAAACAAACAAAAAAGCAATCTTGGCTCAATTTTCATTTGAACTCAGAATCTCAGCCATGGTTGAAACAAGAACCCTTCCCCCATGTCTAGTTATCATTACTTCTTGGTAGTCACTAAAGAGAGGAAAGCGAACTTTCTCACTCAGATCTGTCCTTAAACTAGCGCACACCTGAGTCTCAGGGGAAATACTGGATTAAGGCCTCCAGCTCAAAAGCTAAAGTGATAGCCTGGGGGACCACATAACCTAGGCCAGTGCAGAGATGTACCAATACCACCTCTTTGGATCACTCCTGGTAATGCTCAGAAGATCAGACAGGTGACAGCCATGTGCAAGGCAACACGTGAACAACCTCACCTGCTTTTCCTGAGCTAACCACAATCTCATCTGATTTTCAATAGCGAATGCATTTTTTTGAGACCCTTGTGGACTGGAGAGGCTAGGTGGGCGAAGGGCCTATTACAGCCCATCAGGGCACAAAGGAATGGTGGGTGGGAAGGTTTGTTTCACTGGGTTTTCAAGGCTCTGCCCTGGCACAGAAAAAATATGATTACATTCTACTGAGTCAAAAGGTGCTTTCAGCCGGTCCGCTGAAAAATACTCAAGGCATAAGTGGGGGTGGGGGGGGTGGAGGGGAGCAAAGTCGGTAGTAGAGAGCTGGAGGCGGGTGGAATGGGGACGCCTACTAAAAATAAGCAATTGGTTTCCTTTTCAATGGGGAGGACGCTGTTGGAAAGAGTGAAACGAGTATTTTGAAACTTCGTGCAGCAACACGGGCCGATGCAAGAGTGTTCTTTGGAACCAGAGAAGAGCTCCCAGCTCAGCGGAGTAGGAGTCCCGGTGACTGACGCTCAGGGGATGCCAGACTTCCTGGGGGGAGGGGGCGGGGATAATGTAGGAAAGATGAACAGATGAACGGGATATAAAGTAGTACACGAGTTGCTGCTGAAGCTGCTGGGGAGGACCACTAATCAGTATCTGCTACCTGACTCCACTCGGAGTCAGCAGCTTGCAGCCGTGCGCGCCGTCCGAAGAGACCTCGCGGCGGCTCTCAGACCCCCGGGAGGGAGTCCCGGGTGCTCTCCTTGCTCTTCCCCGGGTGCGGAAGGTTATAAATAACCACTTTGACCTCGCCAAGGCTAAGCCAGGGAGCGGCCCGGGTAGCCCTCGCGCCCGGAACCCGTAGCTGCAAAGGCAGAGGCAGCCGCCCGCGCCGCCACCGGGCTCCCGGAGCCGCCAGCCGCCGACTGGCAACAGCGAGAATGATTGATGGGTGACCGGCTCAATGAGGGGGGCCTGGGCAGGGGGGTGGGGCGGGCCGGCTCGGGGCTGAGCCAGTCGCGGGCGCAGCGGGGGGCCGGGGGGCGGAGACTCCGTGGAATTGTGTCGGTGACATTGAATGGGGAGACCAAGCGCGAGCGAGGCGCGCGCGCGCACACACGCGCACACACCAAGCCCGGCGCGCTCCGAGATCCCCGGCCACGTAAGTAACTATTAATACCGCCTCGCCGGGAGATGCGGGCTTGCTGAGCACGGGGATTGGCCTCGGACACTGTCGGCCGTCCCCGCACCCCCCTTCCCATCTTCAATTCTAAATACTCAGTCCTCTTACCTCTGTGTAGAGGAAGAAAAGAAGAAAAGAAAGAAAGGAAAAAGAAAAGAAGGAAAGCTGTCAATTTCCTCCCAAACAAACCCTAGCAGGCAATTTGTGTTGAGGGCAGGGGAAATCGGAGTGGTTGCAAATTATTCCAAGCAAGAGATCCCCGCCTACCGCGGGGAAGGAACGCTGCAGGTTGGCAAAGGCGCCACCCGCGCCTGGAGGACCCCTTACTCCCCCCGCCCCCGGAAGCTCATGCCGAGGAAATCGGAGACCATTGATCTGTCCTTGTCCCTGCCCGCACTTCTCGCAGTATTTGGAGGACGTTCTGGAGCTCCGGGGAGCAGCGACAGCATGAGCCTGTGCTGACCCCTGCCTGGCGGGCCAAGTGCTGGCTTTGTCCCGGTACCTGCGTCCGGGCCACGCTGCAACTGCCGTGCCCAGCTTTTGCAATCTTTTGTTGGCATCGCTGACCGCTCTTAAGTTAAATGCTCTCTTGCTTTTTTTTTTTTTTTGGTCTGTTTGTTTAATTTTTGGAGAGCTCTGGCAATCTTGGAAAAGGCTCAGACGCCACCTACAGTTAGAACGTAGGTAACTACCCTCTCCAGAACGCGCCCCCCCCTCCTTCCACGCCCCCCACCCTTTCCACCAAAAAAGGGGGTGCCGCGCGGATTCTGTCTGCCTGGCGGCGCGAGCCGGTAGACCCGTGCTTTATTTCCTTTCTCTCTCTTTTTTTTTTTTTTTTTGCTGGGTCTCTAACGCTGGGAGACCTAGCCGCCGCGGCGCGCGCGGCGAAGATTGCACGACCCGTCTGCGATTCGGAAGACTGCGTGGGGATCGCTTCGGGAGTCCGGGCGCTGCAGCTCCCCACCTTAGCCAGCCGGTGACGCGTCTAGATCCACGTTGGAAAGAGGGAGAGAGGAAAGAAAGAGGAGAGAGAGAGAGCGCGAGCGAGCGAGCGAGCAAGCGAGCGAAACAAACAAAAAAGTGCTGGAGATTTCTGCAAATTGCGGGCTGCTTTGGGGTAACAAAAGGACCCGAGTTGCCGACTGAGTGCCCCCCGGGAGCCGGGCTCGGAGCGGACTAGGTGCCCGTCGGCGCCCATTCTGGCTGGGGCTTCTAACTCTTTCTCCAACGTAGTCCCCTTCCCGTCCCCTCCCCTCTCGTTCCCTTTTAAGATCCGTGGCACGGAGGCGCCTGCAGCAGCTCTCGCCCGCGACTCATCTCTCCAGCGGGTTTTTTTTGTTTGTTTGTTTGTTGGTTTGGTTGGTCGTGTGCGATCCCCACACTCATGAACATACACAGGTCCACCCCTATCACAATAGCAAGATATGGGCGATCGCGGAACAAAACCCAGGATTTCGAAGAGTTGTCGTCTATAAGGTCCGCCGAACCCAGCCAGAGTTTCAGCCCGAACCTTGGCTCCCCGAGCCCGCCCGAGACTCCGAACTTGTCGCATTGCGTTTCTTGCATCGGGAAATACTTATTGTTGGAACCTCTGGAGGGAGACCACGTTTTTCGTGCCGTGCATCTGCACAGTGGAGAGGAGCTGGTGTGCAAGGTAAAAAAAAAAGAAAAAAGAAAAAAAAAAGCCCGGGGTTTCTTTGCTCTTTTTTTTTTTTGTCTATTAAAAAGATTCTCTGACCAGTGGAGCGGGGCGGGAGGTCACCCAAACCCTGGGGTCTAGGGGAAGGAGATTCAGGGGATAATCATCCGTGGCCTCGTGAAACGGGTTTATTTCTATGTTCATGTTCGACTAGTTGAGAAGTTTTTAGACCGTTGCAGACAATCAGACAATGGGGCGGGCTGAGGCGGGGGCGTTTAGGGGAGAGTCCGGGGCGGGAAGGGCGGCGGGACTGCGCGGGGGCCACGTACCCCGGTGCTTCCCCAAGCTCGTGGAGCGCCTCTGCGCGGGGCAGGGTCCCACTGCCCAGGGGATTTCTCCTTGGGTCTAGCCCCCTCCCCTTCCCACTTGGAGTAGGGAATCCCGGGCTAATTTTAAGGCACTGACGACTGGGTTCTTCTCGCAGCCATTGTTCTTAGCAACGTGCAGGTGTTAAACCTTTGTTCCGAAGGTGCCCTTTAAATAAAGACACACAAAGGTGTCCCTTCTGACGGAGCCCCGCGCGGGGAAGCAGTTTACAAAGAGCTTTCTCTTGCCTGGAGCCCTGAAGAGCAGAATTGGGGGTTATGGGGGGAGAGGGGGATGTGAATGTGGATGTGGATGGAAATCTAAGGCGCCAGGCACCTTTGGGTGTAGGGACTAGTGAATCCCTGGGGGTGGGAGGGGGTGGGGGGTCTTTCTTATCTTCCTTTCTTCTCATCTGCAGACTTACCTCACTGTGCTCTTCCTGCGCTCGCCCCCCCCCCCCCCCCCCCGCGCCCCCTATCCCTGCAAGGTTTTGGAGTCCCAGGGATTCATAGGGCTAATACACAGATCCAGCACTTCAGTTTCCTTTTTGTCTTTGACCCTGAACAGTGACTGTTTTGTGGATGTGTGAGTGTGTGAGTGTGTGTGTGTGTATGTGTGTGTTTCTTTGTGCACCCACAGGGCTCTAGAGAATGGATGAGCAGGGAAATTGCTATAAAAAGAGAAAAAAAAGGGAAGAAAGCACAAGACTGGATGTCTCCCTAGGAACTGGTTGTGGTTATCAAAAATTCATTGCCACGTAAATTTAGATTTGTTCCCTGTTCTGGGGGGGTGCAGAAGTGGGGACCCCCCTCCCCACTGTCTTTGAAATGGGCACGGTGCACAGCTGTGTGGCACATAATGCCTCACACTTTTTCTATTAACCACAGACTGCTTTGTGGACTTGCTGTATTTCACAGGGGACCTAAGTATTTCAAGTAAAAAAAAAAAAAAGAATGGGGTTTTTGGAGGTCTCGGGTTCAGTTTTGCAGTTGTTCGGTTCCGATCTCAGGGGGCAAAAACCAGAGTCTCATTAAAGATTTTTCTCTGCAAGTACTGAGCGTTTGGTATTTTGCATCTTCTCCAAGTGACTGAGACCCAGAGCAACTGTGCCCTGTTAACCAAAATTCAGTAGGCTATTCAGAGCTGGGTTGAATTCTCAGAAGACCTACAATGTTGCACAATAGGGTAGTCATCCTTTGAAATGAATGAGTTCCACTGAGCTGCAGCTCTCCTATGAAATATGCACAATCATCCAGCAGTGTGTGTTTTCACTCCTTTTGCTCAACTTCAGTATGGTATTTTAATATTTTTCAAAGACTGGAGATGCTTTTAAGTAAAGGGACTCCCCTGCCAAATTCTGCAGAAGCATCTGGCTGTTATTTCTTTGTTTAAAAGCAGAGGTGACTCCAGCCCCTGCTCTTTCTTTCTCCCTTCAGATACTTCAAGACATATTTCACTTAGGGCTGACCTTACCGTGTCATTCGGAGACTTGCTCTCTGCCCCGAAACTCTACTTAATCTGCCGGTTTAGTTATTGCAAAGATTGAATCAACCCCTCACCAATTACTGTGTGGCTGCAAGTGGATTTAAGTGCAGTATCATTGTTCTGCTTGACAGAGGTCATCCCTTTAAGACACAGCAGCTTCTGTTTTCCTGCCTTTTTACCAGAGGTGATGTGGGTGACTTATGCAAGCATAGTTGAATATATCTTAGGAGACTCCAAGTGGTTTTATATGGTTGCTTCTGTGAGCTACTCTCATAGACTGTGGGTTCTTTTTCACTACAATGCTCAGTAAAATCTACAAATTAAGTCAAGTTCCTTTTGCTGTTTTAACATAGAGAGTTCACGTTTCTTAGCTCAGTGTGGAGCTGAAAGGGGAGGGGAGAATCTTTGCAAAAACTGATCAAATATAAAGATGCCTCTTATTATAGAGGATATATAGAGATTTTTAGTGGATATGGCAGAGAGATTTGAGGGTCATGTGTCTAAAACAATTAAGCCTGTTTATTGTCTCCTGTGTCTACTTTAAGCTCATCAAAGGAAGGGAGCTTTGGAGGCTGGAGAGGGGCTTTAGTTTATTTATTTCAAGGAATAGTTGGTAGCTAATTCTTATAGAGACATAATTACTATCATTGCAGAAGAGACACTTTTTTTTTTGCACATGCTATTTATTAATGATGGCCTCGTCTTAGTGCCTTAGCTAAATCATGTTATATAACTAAGGCTCCAAATTAAACATTTTTAAGAAGCTGGCAACCAGGCTTATGACTTGATTTTGCACTTGAAGGTGATGGTTTAAATACCAATGCAAACCCATAAATGCCTGTTATAGCTACTAATAAAACTTTGGCTCCTACTCATTTGGGAAAACCTAAGTACTTGCTTTATTTTTCATACCCTGTCCACCATCTTGGAATTTGGTCTTTTCTACAAAGGGGATGGCCTACATTTTGAAGCTGCCATCATTTGTTTCATTTTTTTAAAATCTTATCTTTCATTTAATTCTGTGTACATTTAGTTTTTCAGCAGGGGTGTGAGGTCATCAGCTAGAGGGGCTGAGCAAAAAGTATCTTTCATTTATTTTCTAAATGCAACTCAGAGCAGGAAGTACATTATAATCCTCACTCCATAAGCACTGGTGAGAGAGCCTGCAGCCTGCGGCTTCCAAACATATCCTCATTATACAACACAGTGTGTTTACATTAGCCTCTGCAAAGTATTTATTGCTCTCTGAAATTTTTGAGGTTTTCCTGGGTTTCTGCTGCCTACAGTCTGAGTGTGAAAGTTGACTCAAGCATTTCAGATTCCTAATTGAACGGATCTCTGAGGTCACCACTCGTAGGTCATCATTTGACAGTTTCAGGGTGTGATTTGTGGTCTCTGGAGATGTCGAAGTATTCATTCTTAAATTCTAGGTTAGGGTGGCAGCAGCTGTGCCGTTTTCCTGAGATGCCTCATTATAGTTCATTCACAATGTTACTTTGCTTCCTTGCCCAGGGTTAGGCAAGGAAGAGCTTCTCACCAGCTCTGTTGGATGCACAGATTTCTTTTTTCCCCCCACCTTTGAATCTAAGAGAGTGACTTAACTCATGATTCTCAAATGATAGCCTGTATCCCTGAATAGATTTTCAGGAGACATGAGTCCCATTAAAATGAATCTAGCATTGTGCCTGCATTTGCAAATGGGCTGGCCTCCTTTGCTAAGAGAGATGAGGTTTTTTGTTGGTGGTGGTTGTTGTGGTAGTGGTTGTTTTTATAAGGTTATCATGAGAGACCTGGATCCATGAAAGGTTAACAGTGCTCGCAATCCGTGTCTTCAGTTCAGACGAAAGGGGGAGATCCTGGGCTTTGTCCAACAAAGCGCCCATTATCAGTGACCTCATCCAAAGGATTGGTGGCTAATTAGAGCCTCAGGTTTGGTGATTTCTAGGCCAACCTTTCTCTCACCACATTGCAAACTGATACTTAAGGGTAATATATTCTAACTACTGAGAAAAACAGATGTAAGAAGCTGAAGGATGGTGCATTGATGACATTAATGCTTTGGCCTGAGGTGCTTCCCAGAGAAACACTTTCACACCTGCCCCCCACTCACAAAGACTGGAACAGTACCCACATTCCCAGCAGATAGTAAGACCACATTCCAAACCTGGGGGTCAGTATTCCCATTTTAACGGAGGCCTTCTTAAAATGAATGAAAGCTTTTTCTTCTAACTTCAGATATTCTCTGTAGTGTTCATTCCTGTTAAGTCTGCTTCAAAAAAAAAGGTATTGAGGGTGGATCTTCTTTTGAAAGAACCCCACAGTGAGATGGCATTTCGCAGGCTAATTTTGATTCATAGAAAATCGTTGCATAACAGATTCATTGAACTAGATCTCTGTGGAGGGATCAGAGAAAGAATCATCTGCTTTCCTTCCCAATTGAAGACGGTGTCCTCATCCTAGCTCTGCCACTGGGGGCTTGATGTGGTGTTTTCACAACTGAGCCCCTAGTTCTACATCTTTAAACTGAAGGTGTTGAATTAGATCATCATTAGGCAAAAGTCTAGCTATTTAGTTTAGACATTTCTAATATGTTGTATTGCTATACAATGCAAATTTTTAGCATCTGCTATGCTGTATAATGTTGCCACAATTATATAGTGTTAATGTAGATTTTTAAAAGGCAAATAAGACGTTTCTGTGTAACTTGAGATAGCCCACATTTTTTTTTTTAGATTTTTGCTTTAGTTCTATAAACAAGGATGATTAGAAATGAGGAAAAGTAGTAACATTGGAGTACTAGGCTTGTTTGTCTTACAGAGCTCAATTACCTTCTTTTTTTCATTTAATCTTCCCAACATGGGGGAGTCAAGTATCATTTGTTCATTTTGCACATGAAGATTTCGAAGGTCAGAGAGGCCAAGTGACTTATGCAGTGCCACACAGCTGGTCATTGTGGTCTGGGTCCAAGTGCCACATGCTTTCTGTCATCTTAACATCCCAGGCCGATGGCAGGTGTTCAGATTCTGTGATTTGGTTGCATGAAAGACACTTCTGACTTTGGTCTTGTTCCTCCTGCCCTAGGTGTTTGATATCAGCTGCTACCAGGAGTCCCTGGCCCCATGCTTTTGCCTGTCTGCCCATAGCAACATCAACCAAATCACCGAAATTATCCTGGGGGAGACCAAAGCCTATGTGTTCTTTGAGCGCAGCTATGGGGACATGCATTCCTTTGTCCGCACCTGCAAGAAGCTGAGGGAGGAGGAGGCAGCCAGACTGTTCTACCAGATCGCCTCAGCAGTGGCCCACTGCCATGATGGGGGTCTGGTGCTGCGGGATCTCAAGTTGCGGAAATTCATCTTTAAGGATGAAGAAAGGTAAGTCTTGTTCCTGCTCGAATCCAAGAACTATCAGCTGCTCAGTGCCACTAACTTGAAAGATGGGAATGGGCAATTTTTGCTGCCAGTTGTCCGGTTCTGGATACAGAGGACAAGGGGAGGCATTTATTTGCAGTGTTTTCAGTGCCCTTGGAAAACAAATTGCCAGTTACTCTGACAGTGCTATCAAATGCTCAAAGCATGGATGCCAGGATGATCAGTAACCTGGTTATTTCCTTTGTTTTGGTGCCATGAATACTGGAGGGGACAATGTAAGGCAAAGGTATCAAAACCCTATTTTCAGAATGTTGAGAGCCCAGCGACAGTCATTCATTCAGGGAATGTTTTCTAACTATAGGCCTTAGTCACTGTTATTAACAATGTGAATCTCAAGATGAATTAGCTAGTCAGCTGACCCCAGAAGGAAGCATTACATGCCTGAAATGAAGTCTGCAGATCGGAAAGAGGGACAAGGATGTTAGTTCCAACCAGGACTCGGAGAGTCAAGAAAGTTCTTTCAAGAGAGGTGGGTTTTTGAGCCAAGATTTGGAAGATGTGAGACTCATAGTGGTAGGTATTGTGAGAAGGACCAGTGTTTCAGGTGAGGGGACTTCCTGTGCAAAGGCACAGGAATGGGAGGCCTCGGTTATATCAGTAGACAGCTGGACAGGATACTAGGCATCTGGGTCCTATTCATGGTTCTTCCATAACTCATTACAGTCTAATTAGCAGACTTCACTGAGGCACTGCTTTCTTCTCCTGCTGACTTTGATTACAAAGACTCTCTCACGGTACTTTTTTGTTTTTTAAAGAATATGCTTTTAAAGGGCTGGAGCGATAGCACAGAGGGTAGAGTGTTTGCCTTGCATGTGGCCGACCTGGCCAACCCAGGTTCAATTCCTCCGCCTCTCTCAGAGAGCCCGGCAAGCTACCGAGAGTATCTCGCCCAAACGGCAAAGCCTGGCAAGCTACCCGTGATGTATTGGATATTCCAAACATAGTAACAAGTCTCACAATGGAGACATTACTGGGCCTGCTCGAGAAAATCAATGAACAGTGGGATGACAGTGCTGCAGTGCTACAATGCTTTTAAAAGAAAAAAAAATGAAGTGGAGGAAGCTAACTTATATTCATTGCTGACTATACTCCAAGAATTGTTTATGCATTCATGAGATCACGGACCTCTTATGGTTGCATTGGGCACACTCATATTTACTAGACCTGTGGTTAATGAAGTGGAGGGTCCATTGTCAAAGCTGTTCGGGACCATCTGATCATAAGAACACTGGTGAAGTTCATTCATTCTTTCACTCAGCAGACATTTTTGGCGTACCTTTATGTATCAGCAAGGACAATACTTGTTAGCAGGATTTTCTGCCTTCCGGTTAGTTTACCACTTACTCTGTGATATTTTTAGATTATTGCTTAGAGAAGTCTGATGACCTCCAAATGAAAATATTCTAGCAGTGTGCTCTGATTTGTGCATCTAATGGGGAAGTAAATGTCTGGGAAATGGTTAGGGGATTAGTGAAGGTAAAGGGCTCATTGTCATTTAAACAAATGGAATGATTTTATGTATTTATAAGCCAGCCAACTATACAAAGTGCAGGTAGCATTTGAGTTTCCTAAGCCTTCAGAAAGTGGTTATTGTTTCATATTTTTACCAATAAAGGGGCATCAAATGTACTGACGGTAGCTAATATCCTGGTCTTTCATAATGGATGGCTTGGATCTTTATTAACACAGTGAAGAGAGGTGACAACACTTCTGGGACTAAGAGTATGGGGCATTGTTAGCCTTTTTTGAGTCATTATTTCAGATGCTCCATCCTGGGAGCCTTGCCATCCAGGTTCTTATCTTGATTTGCTTCTAATTCATTTGTGACCTCATGCTTCCAGCCTCTCCTCTCCCCCGCCCCCACCATCTGTCTTCCTTCTTCATCCCTCAGCCTCAATTTTCCACATCTTTTATTGCCCTGAATTGGTTACATCGACAGTCAGATCCTTCAGAGACTTTCAGTTCTGCACTGGGTTGAACAGTAGCATTTGGATACATCCCAATTCCCCAAAGAATGTTGACAAAGATCCCCTCTTTGCCCTTCTCGGTTCCAGTTTTCTGAGAGTTCTAAAAATTATCATACAAAAATAAGAAATAATAGCTGATGACCTCTATGAGGATATTGTTCCAATGTTCTTAATTCTCTCTACTAATATGGAGAGGTATTATGTGCATTTTATTGGGGAGAGCTACAAAAGTGCTGCATGGTAAATTCTCCCCATCTCGGGCAGGAAAGAGTAGAGGAGCCGATTCTGCTTAAGTCAGTGCACAAGAAATTAATTTGCTTGCCTGAGGGAGTGAGGCCAGTGAATGCCTGTCACAAGGTCTGAAAGATTATAAGTGTTATCTTTGATGATTTCTCTTTAGGAATTTCAGGCATCAGCAGGGTGGCAGGGCCAGCAAAAGCACCTCTAGCTGATCATGTTTGTGAAATGAATCAGCGTGGGATGGATTTGTCCCCCGGGTGCAGAACGTGGGAGCAGGACAGGGCCTCCAAGGTTCCTGAGAGTACAAGAGGCTTCAGGTCTTTGAGTGTGTTGCCAAGAAGCCGATCTCCAAGGTGAGGGTGCCTCAGTGCCCACAGATTTCTAGAAACACAGAAGAGGCTGAGTCAGAGCGTACTCGGGGACTGGCTTCCCCCCACAGCCACCCCCAGACCTAGCATGTCCTTTAGGAGATGATTTGTAAAAAATTTAAAGAGCATATTGTAGCAGAAGCCTGAATCCTGGATGGCCTAGCGCCCAGGGAAGAAGTACCAAGATGAAGAAGTTTCTAGAACAAGGATGGTGGGTCTCTGAGGAGCAGTCTGGAGTTTTGTTTGACTTTTGTCACAGGGTATAACCCTTTCTAAAAAGAGGTCAGAAAGAAGTATTTTACGTGAACCAGAAACTAGAGAATACTTGACTGGAACCAGTGTCTCAGAGCTCAATCCCTTTTCATATCATAAAGCAGTTTCCTTCTGCAAAAGAAACTGTTCTGTGATCAGTAGGAACTTATTGGCTTGTTTACGATGGACCGTCCAGCAACTCCAAAAGACCAGAAAGGAGGAGGGTCACTCCCCAATCTGATGCAGGAGGTGACCAAGCCACACAGGGATAATGTGACTGTTTTCAAGGTCACACAGCCAGGCAATCATGCCATTTTACCCCAAAGCACTTTCTCTGCTCCACAGACTGAAGAAGAAAGTCCCAGCGAATCTTCCATCCAGAAACATGACAAGCATTTCTGTAGCTCTGAGCAGGGCTTTCTGTTTTCAAAGACTCTGTAGATGTTCTTCTCATTTGCTGACAAAAAACTTTTTCACCTCTGCCATATTAATCAACTCTCTGTGGAAAGAGAAAACGGTCTTGTAAACTTTCTTCCCTCCATGTTATTTTATTTAGTATTGCTGTTATTTTGATTTAGGGGCTGTACTTGGGGAGGGCCGGTGGGTGTCTTCTCCCAGCTCAGTGTTGAGGGAGTCACTCCTGGCGGTGCTGGGGTTACCCTGCAGTGTTGGAGGAGCAAACACAGGCCTTTCATTTGCAAAGCGTGTGCTCCAACACACTAAGTCTCCTTGCCCTGGCCTGCATGTTCTTCTTTTGGATTTGACCCCTGGATTTTAAAGTCAAATACTGGATAGTGTCACTCAATGATTGCTGCCTCTGTGTTGCCCAGTGGTTGGCGAGTTTCACTGCAAAGGCCCTCTTTGGCCTGCCAGGCAGCCTGCCAGGACCACCTCACTGCTGGGGAACTGGAGCCAGGGACCCCCCTTCCACCCCATCCCCACTACACACACACACACACACACACACACACACACACACACACACATTTTGCTGACTGCCCTTACCTTATTCGTAACAATAGCACCCAAAGGGTCCCTCCCACCGCACCCCAAACCCGCTACACACACAAACACAGAAACACACACACACACACACACACACACATTTTGCTGGCTGCCCTTACGTTATTCATAACAATAGCACCCAAATCAATAGGTTTTATCTGTTAGTCTAAAGCTTCCCTCTTGAGATAGCTTTCACTGCTGGAGGAAATGATAGGTTGACTAGGAACAGCTTTTGAAAAGTGTAGCTGTGGGGGTTGCACCTGTTTCCTGCACCGCACTGGGAGAACACTTTGTTACAGACTTTTGGAAGTGCTGCTGTGCTGAGCTTCCCAACCCCAGACACCTGTTTTGTAGCCTTATCTCCCTCAAGGATATGCTTCTTGCTCTTTGATGATCTTGAAAGTAGCTGAGGGTGAAGGCAGTAGTCAGAGAAGCTAGTGAGTTGCAACTGGTATAGAATGAGCCCATGATCTGACTTCTCATGCACAGATTTTTCATTCTGGACCTCCGGCTTCTCATGAAAATATCCCCAGTGGGGCTGTCTGTGCTTTAAGTCTAGTTTTCCAAAAGCATCTTTGCAAACACGGTAAGCACTTGATTCCCAGTGTTGGATCCAGGCTCATGTCTGTGGATCTTCTCTGATTCCATTTTCAAGGAGCAACAGGTCAGATTTTTCTGCTTTATTTTGTTTGGATTTGAGTTCTAGATTCAATTTCTGCCTCTCCCACGTATTTGCCAGTTGATTTCGATGAATCACTTCCTATTTGGGACCTGCAATTTTCCCAATGCAGAAATAGTAATAGAATCCTTGGAGGGTGAATTTGAGGGTTTAGTTAGATGCTTCTGTGAATGCAGAGGCAAGCATTGGGCAATGCTAGGAGCATCTTCAGACAAACAGAGCCATTTGGGGGGACCAGTTCCCTGGCTCTGTGTGCTCACAGGGACTGTGGGCCAACGCTTTGGTGGCCTTTGCCATGAAGAGAGGAAGGGTCTAGATTTAAACCTCCTGTTCCTCTCTGTGGTTCAATCCGAATCAGAGCCTCTGTGGTACTGGGAGAGCACAGTTCACATACACATGCTGTGAAATCTGTAGCTCAACTAGACTGGGGAG